CCAAACAGGATATACCCCCAAAAGAAAATCACCAAGACATATCATGGTCAAACTGATCAAAACCAAAGACAAAGAAAGAATCCTGAAAGCCACACAGGAAAAACGAAAAGTTATCTACAAAGGACAATGAATAAGAGTAAGCTCTGCTTTCTCATTAGAAACCATGCCAGTGAGAAGGCAGTGGGATGGTATATATAAAACCCTGAAAGAGAAGAATTTCCAACCAAGAATTATATACCCAGCAAAATTGTCCCTCGAATATGATGGTGAAATAAGGACATTTCCAGATAAGCAGAAATTAAGGGAATTTGTTAAAACCAGACCAACCTTACAAGAGATACTTAGAAAAAAGGTACATAGAAAGGACTGATAGTTCATATGGAGGAATGGAATAGTGGACCACGTTAGCTGATGGTGTAAATTGATTCATACTGCTGTGTTTAAGCATAAAGTATTTTACCCAAACTGTTGATCTGCAACATCTGTCTTCTTTTTCAAAGTTTCTGTTTATTTAAGGTTTAGTAAGTCATTCCAGGGCTAAGATGAGAGCCCTGGCCAGCATGCACACACTGCCATTACTCACCCATCCAATGGGACAAAGCCCCTGCCATATGTATTTCCTTCATGAAGAAAAGAAGCACTACTATTGCCGTGAGGCTCATTCTTTTAAAGATGCAAGTTCTTCATTAGATGAGTATAATGTTCCATTCCTATGTCTTAATTAGGAATATCTTCAACGCTATAGAAAAATTAAGAATGGTACAAATGAGTACCTACATAATAAGTCCTGACATATAGCACTGTGCAAATCAGCTGCAAAGGACTTCTTTCAAGTGCTGAAGCACAAAGATGTCTCCTTGAGGACTAAGGTGTGCCTGACACAAGCCATGGTATTTTCAGTCTCTTCATATGCATGTGGGAGCTGGACAGTGAATAAGGAAAACCAAAGAATAGTTGATGCTTTTGAGTTGTGCTGGCGAAGAATGCAGAAAGTGCCATGGACTGGTAAAAGATCTAACAAGTCTGTCCTGGAAGAGGTGCAGCTAGAATGATCCTTGGAAGCGAGAACAGCCAGACATCGTCTCACCTATTTTGGTCATGTTGTCAGAAAGGACCATACCCTGGAGAATGGTGTCGTGCTTGGTAAAGTGGAGGGTTGACAAAAGAGGGGAAGGCCCTCAACGAGATGGACTGGCACAGTGGCTGCAGCAGTGGACCTCATGTATAGCAAAAGTTGTGGAGCTGGCACAGGACTGGGTGGTATTTCATTCTGCTGTGCATAGGGTTGCTATGAGTTGGAGACTCAACAACAACTACAACTTAAGTCCCACCTAGACACTACAGCTGTTAACGTTTTGCCATATTTGCTTTATTGTGTATGTTCTCTCTATGTGTAGGTGTATACTTTTATTACTTAAAATAATATCACAGCAAGGAAATTTTAATAATAAATATCCGAACCGTTATTATTCCCTAATTATCTCAATAATGAGGAGCTCTGGTAGCATAGTGGCTAAGGCACTTGACTGCTAACCAGAAGGCTGGTGGTTCAAACCTACCAGCCACTCCTCGGAAGGAAGGTTGGGCATTCCTACTTCCGTAGTGATACTGCCTCAGAAACCCAAGGAGGGGTCGCTATGAGTTGGGGCCGACTTGATGGCAAATAACAACGACAAGAACATCTCAATAATGAAGTGTTTTGTTTTGAAACCAGTATCCAATCTAGGCTTATATATGTAGTTAAGTAGTTATCTCTTTAATAAGAGTCTAGGCTTATAGAATAGCACACATTCTGAGTATGGCTCATTTTCTCCTTAAGGTTTTGCTTAATTTGTTCCTGTATATTCGTATTTCTTGTAAACCGAAAGATCCAAAAACAGTTATATTCAGGTTAAACATTTTGGGCAATAATATCATGTTGTTCTGTTGTTGTTATGTGCCGTCGAGTCAGACCCGACTCATAGCAGCCCCTCCTTGGGTTTCTGAGGCAGTATCACTACAGAAGTAGATTGCCCAACCTTTCTTCTGAGGAGTGGCTGGTGGGTTTGAACTGCCAGCTTTCTGGTTAGCGGTCAAGTGCCTTAGGTACTACGCTACCAGAGCTCCTAATAATATCATAGGTGGTGATATTTACATCTTAATCACCTCCAAAGGCATATAATGTCAAGTTGTCATACTTTTAATGAGGCTATGTTTGATCACTTGGTTAAAAGGGTAACACCAAATCTCTCTAATAAAAAATTACATTGTTCCCTTTGCAATTAGTAAGTAATTGTGTTGGGCAATTTTTTAGAATCAAGAAAAATCATTTTTATTCACAATGAGGTTAATTGCAGGCAGTCTGTCCAGGATTGATTCTGGGCTCCTAGTTGTGTTTCAGAAAACTTTAAAGAGGTCTGCCCCCATTGAATGGAAGCAAAAACCCATTAGTATCTGGAGGTAGAGGCAGTGTGTAAAAGCCACACAAAAAGGATACTGAAGAAGGAAGCAGGCTGTCTGCAGTGAATTTGTTTAGCCACGCTCTGGTTATATGATATTATAACCCATTTTTTTTCTGCAGATATATCAAGATTGGAAAGCCCAAAGGAATCCTGAATCTTCCTGAGAGGAAAAGTGACCTATTGTTTGGCAATTTCCACAGTGTGTCCTGATCTAATTAGCTGTGTGCTTCTTTTTAGGCCAGAAAATCAGTCCAGAAGGAAAAGCTAAAATTCAGCTTCAGCTGGTCCTACATGCAGGGGACACAACTAACTTCCATTTTTCCAATGAAAGCACAGCAGTGAAAGAGCGTGATGCAGTAAAGGACCTTCTTCAGCAGTTGCTGCCCAAATTCAAGAGGAAAGCAAATAAAGAACTGGAAGAGAAAAACAGGTGAAGGAGGAAAAGAATTGTCTTATAGAGAGATGCTAGGCCTCTAAATAAAGTGAGAAATACCTTGTTACTTCTTACCATTGTGCTCTAGTAGTGTAATATTGGAAAACACTGCCTTCATTGTCATTGCCTCTGTGTTTGATTCTCAACTTTAGCATCTTATTAGCTGTGTGGCTTTGGGCAAATTATGTAATCAATCTGAGTCTTATGTTCCTCATCTTTATAATAAGGTGAATGATAACTTCACAAAGTAGATTTGAAAATTAAGGTAGAAGTATATGTAAAATGCTTGGCTCCTAGAGGTGAACATTTGTTTCTGTCTTAACGTGTATATAACAACTTTTCAAGGCACTTTCATACACTTTTTCTTTCATTATTTAAGGGGGACATAGTGGTATTTCCATTTTATATTGTATATATGAGCATTCACGGATTCAGAAGTTTAATTAACTACCTCAAAACTAATGTCTGATTAGCAGCACTAAGATTAGAATCTATAAGTAGTGCTAAGGTCCTTTTATTCCTTCTACCATTCTCTGTCACAGAGAAGATATTAAGCTACTAGAAGACATTAAGTCATTAGAAGAAACCATTTGTAAAGTCTTTGAGAACAAGTGTTTGTGAACAAGTAACTCCAAAGAAGTCCTACTATGAAAAAGTGAAACAACATACAGAATGAGAATTTCTGATAAGATAAATTATCCGATTACTGATACCTTTCAGGTCATCAGTGCTTATCACATGAAAAATTAGTTGCTGGAAATCTCAAGCATACCCCTCTCATCCCTATCTACCTTACGTGTAAAAGAGAATACAGTACAGTACAAATACGAGCACAGCGATGTTTATATCACTTGGACTACAGAGATGAATGAGGCCAAATTCCTACCTTCAAGAAGTTTAGTCTTTGCTCCTTCAGACTTCTCTCCATTTACTTCCACTTCATTTGTTTCTCTAAAAATGCTTTCTGCTTTAACTACTAAAGAGTTAACTGAATTGGCCTGTGTTGTTCAATCATAAAAAAATAAAAGTGTATTTCACGTTGTTAAAGTGTTTCATATTGTTAGTCTTTCTTTTAAAAGTGTTCCTTCAATAGTGTTTTATTCTAGAAGTTTAATTATATTCAATATTCTATCACCAGAATGCTGCAAGAAGATCCTGTTTTGTTTCAGCTTTATAAAGACCTTGTTGTGAGTCAAGTGATCAGTGCTGAGGAATTCTGGGCCAATCGTTTAAATGTGAATGCAACAGATAATTCATCCCCATCCAATCATAAACAGGATGTTGGCATTTCTGCAGCATTTCTGGTATGTGACCTAGATTTCTCAAAGGAAGAAAACAAAAAAATTTGAAAACTGATATATTAACAGTGCCAATTCTGTTGTAAAATTTTAGTTATTTCCTTAAAGTACATTAACTGAAAATTCAGTATTCATTATAGTCTTCTAAAATTTTGTTAAATATATACAGTGTTTTTCAAAATGTATAATACCATCATAAAGAAAATGTAAGATTTATAAAATGTATCTGATGGGAAAATTGGGAATACCTTACTTGTAGAATTAGAAAGTGGGCTTTAATTACTGTACACTCCAGTGGATCTTGAGCATCATTTACTCATTCAGCAAAATTTGAGTACCAATTCTGTGTTTGGTACCTTTCCGGGTCCTTGGTAGTGAATTGAATTAAAAGCTTCTACTAAAGAAACCAGTTCATTAGATAATGTCAGTTTGATTATTCACTATCAAGGTTGATGGTGGTTGTGGTAACTACGTAAGTTTTATGTTAAAGCTCCACTTCAGCCTTTAGCTACACATGAATATGCCTGTATCAGAAGTGAAGGAGAGGGACTAACTTTGTTTCTGCAGTTCATTTAAGTCTGTATTTTACCAGTGTCTATCTGGGAATTTAGATATCTTCCTCCAATGTTGTAACTACTATGTGGTCTTCTATTTCAGGCTGATGTCCGGCCTCAAACAGATGGCTGTAATGGTCTGAGATATAATTTAACCTCTGATATCATTGAGTCCATATTTAGGACCTACCCAGCAGGTAAGAAGAGATCAGTTCTTCCGTAAAATGTTTGTTTGGATGAGTTCTATGATATAGCACCAAAAAATACAAAGCTTCACCTTTATTCCTAATTAAGTGGGATAATATGGTTCAGGACCTTAACCAGTGCCTGATACATGATAGATACCAGATAAATCATGTCCTGTCATCAGTTTATTGGTGTGGTGACTGCCAGTCTTTAATGGAAAGTAATTCCTAAACTTCAGCCTTCAACATATCTGAGAAAGAAGACATCTCCAGAGGCATCAATAAAATGAGTCTCCCTACAGCACAGAATCACAACATGGAATGTATAAAATACGAATGTAGGAATATTGGAAGTTGTCAGAAATTAAATGGAACACACAAATAAAGATTGATATCCTTAGGCATTAAGTGAGCTGAAATGGACCAGTTTTGGCTATTTTGAATCAGACAACCATATGATCTACTGTGCTGGGAATGAGAAGTTGGAGAGGAATGGTGTGGCATTCACCATCACAAAGAATGTTTCAAGATCTATCCTGAAGTATAATGCTGTCAGTGATAGAAAAATATCCATGCTTTTCCGAGGAAGACCATTAATACTACTGTTACTCAAATTTACGTACCAACCACCAAAGTGAAAGATGAGGAAATTGAAGATTTTTACCAACTTCTGCAGTCTGAAATTGACCGAACACACAATCAAGATGTGCTGTTTATCACTGGTGATTGAAATGCAAAAGTTGGAAACGAAGAATCACCAGTAGTTGGAAAATTTGGCTTGGTGATAGAAAAGATCTGGAGATCACATGATAGAATTTTGCAAGACCAATGACTTACTCATTGCAAATACCTGTTTTTCAACAACACAGATGGTGGCTATACATGTGGACTTCACCAGATGGAGTACACAGGAATTAGATTGACTACATCTGTGGCAGGAGGCAGTGGACAAGCTCAATATCGTCAGTCAAAACAATCCCAGGAGCTGATTGTGGAATAGACCATCTGCTCATATGCAAGTTCAAGTTGAAATTGAAGACAATTAAATCCACAAGAGCCAAAATACGGCTTTGAATATATCCCTCCTGAATCTGGAGACCATCTGAAGAATAGATTTGATGCATTGAACACCAGTGACCAAAAACCAGAGGAGTTGTGGGATGACATCAAGAACATTATCCATGAAGAAAGCAAAAGGTAATTGAAGAGACAGGAAAGGAAGACCAAAATGAATGTCAGAAAAGACTCTGAAAATTGCCCTTGAGCAAAGAGTAGCTGAAGTAAATGGAGGCACTCACTCAGCTATGCCAGGAGATTTGGAAGACAGCTATCTGGCCAACTGACTGGAAGAGATCCATATTTGTACCCATTCCAAAGAAAGGTGATCCCACAGAATGTGGAAATTGTCAAACAATATCATTAATACTGCACGTGAGTAGAATCTTACCGAAGATAATTCAGAAATGGTTGTAGCAGCATATTGACACAGAACTTCCAGAAATGCAAGCTGGATTAAGAAGAGGATGTGGAATGAGGGATATGACTGCTGATGTCAGGTGGATCTTGCCTCAAACGAAAGAATACCAGAAAAATGTTTACTTGTGTTTCATTACTATCCAAAAGCTTTGGATTGTGTGGATCATAACAAATTACGGATAACACTGAGAAGAATGAGAATTCCAGCATGCTTAATTGTACTCATGAGGAACCTGAACATACACCAGGAGGCTGTCATTCAAACAGAATAAAGGGATACTGCATGGTTTAAAATAAGAAGGGAGTGTGTCAGGGTTGTATCCTTTCACCATACTTAATCTGTATCCTGAGTGAATAATCTGAGTTGCTGGGCTATATGAAGAACACAGCATCAGGATTGGAGGAAGGCTCATTCACAACCTGCCATATGCTGATGACACAACTGTGCTTGCTGAAAATGAAGATGACTTAAAGCACATACTGATGAAGTTGAAGACTACAGTCTGCAGTATAGATTACACCTCACTATAAAGGAAACAAAAATCCTCACAACTGGACCAATAAGCAGCATCACAATAAATGGAGAAAAAATTGGAAGTTGTCAAGAACTTCATATTACTTGGTTCTACAGTCAGCACCAATGGAAGCAACAGTCAGGATATCACACGATGTGTAGCACTGGGCAAATCTGCAAAAGACCTCTTTCAAGTGCTGAAGAGCAAACATACCTCCTTGAAGACTGAGACAGCCATGGTTTTTTCAGCCACCTCATGTGCCTGTGAGATCTGGACAGTGACTAAGGAAGACCGAAGAAGAATCAATTCTTTTGACTTGTGGTGTTGGCAAAGAATGTTGAAACCAGCATGGACTGCTAAAAGAACTAACAAATCTCTCCTGGAAGAAGTACAGCCAGAATGCTCCTTGGAAGCAAAAATGGCCAGTCTTAGTCTTACTTACTTTGGTCATGTTTTCAGAAGGTACCATTCCCTAGAGAAAGATATCATGCTTAGTAAAGTGGAGGGTCAACAAAAAAGTGGATGACCCTCAACATGATGGATTGACATACTGGCTGCAACAATGGGCTCAGGTGTAGCAAGGATAATGGGGCTGGCACAGGACCGGGCAGTGTTTCGTTCTGCTGTATATAGGGTTGATATGAGTCAGAGACGATGTGACGCCACCTAACAGCAACAACACAGCACTAATACATACCGTCCTTCATGCTACTTCCAGAGTGACCTAACCCACAAATCATTTCCTATGCAAAAGCCATCCTAAATATATAGGTTCCTTGATCCCAGCCTTTGTGATTTATGACTTGCAGCCAACCCTGCAGTCTTCTGACCATATAGTACTCTCTTAAACTATATTTTGTTCCCTCTTTCCACTCTTTACGTCTGTGTCTTTAGTCCTTGGGAAACATCTGTCCGTCAGAATTCAGCCCAAGCATTGCCTCATTGCCACCTCTATAAGGATCCTGCCTTCCTCAGACAAATAATGCCTTGTGTTTGCCTCAGTGAGTTATCACGTTGTATTATAATTACTTCCATATCTCTCTGATAGTAAAAACAATTCTGTTGTGTTTAAGAAGCCATGGTGACTCAGTGGTTAAGCTGCTAACAAGACATATGAGCTGAACATTTATATTAGCTGCTAACCAAAAGTAAGGGATTTGATCCCACTGAGTGATTCTGCTGGAGTGAAATCCTGGTGCTCTGCTCAGGATATCAGTAAAGATTACAGCTTAGGAAACCCTATGGAAAGTTCTACTCTGATAATAGGGTAACTGTGAGTCAGAATCAACAGCACACAACAGCAACATACAGTGTTTACTGTGTGCCAGATACTGTTCTAAGATACTCATGTGTTATTAACTCATTTAATCCTTGTAACAACTCTATGAAGTAGGTATAATTACTACCCATTTTACAGATGAAGATACAGAGTAAGTAATTTGCCCAAGGTCACACAAATAGTTAAGTCACTGCAGCTCACATAAACTTTGTCTCATGACATTGACTACAATTTACCACAATGCAACAGCTCTTTTCCCACTTCCTCCCCATAATTACCTCTTCCCTGTCCATGCACTCCTGCCCCTGAGCTATCTCCCTGTGCATACACAGCCCTTCTACTCTCCCATGATTATTCTCTTCAAGGAGTATATCTGCCTAATGTAAATGTTCAGTTCATATGCCTGTCTTTTGTTCAGCTGTAAGCCACAAGAGTGGGTTCAGTTCCATACCTGAAGGGCAGTTATGGGCCATAGTCTCAGTGTTTCCATCATGCTCTATCAGACCAGCAAACCTAGTCACTTTTTTTTTTTCCCAATGACTGAGTTTTGTTCCACACTGTTCTTCCACTCTACCCAGGATCTCCTATATAGATCCCTCTCTGAGTGGTTGACAGTGGTAGCTGGGCACCATCTAGTTCTTCTGGTCTCATAGTCATATAGGCTGAGGATTGCATGGTGTACTAGTCACTTGGACTAAGTGTTTCCATGCATCTTTGGTTTTCTTCATTCTTCCTTGCTCTGGATGAGGAGAGACCCATCGTTGCATCTAGATGGCCGTTTACAAGCTTTAAAGATCCCAGTCACTACTTGCTGAAGAAGGATGTGGAACATGTTTTTCTTTAGTATGTTATGCTAACTGAGCTTGATGTCCCCTGTGACTAGGGTCCTGAGCCCACAAGTCCAACTATTCGCTCCCTCTGGGTAGCTGGCTGTGGCCAAGAAGTGACTACAGCCTTGTCCTTTGTCAGCTCTACTGTATACCTGGGAATTCTTATAGAACATACTGATACACTTACAGAAATATTGTCTGCCAACCCTATACATGGTCATGGGCACACTCCCCTCTGCATAGACACACCTAATAGTTCAGCCTGTCTATCTATCTACTCGTATAACCATTGGCTTAAGAAACTGTGCTTTTAAACTATGCTCAGTAGACTAAGCCTCTGGTGTGCTAAGCTTACAGTCCAGTGAGTATTACATCCCCAGAATGTAACAGTGCCTTGGATTGAAGGAGCACATAAGTAAATGAGCAAGCAAGCAAACGCAGGTCTGTCTCCAAAATTCTTAGTATCTACTAAAAATGATGCCAAAAATGTTAATTGTCCTGATGTAACATAAAGTTTTGTTTTGTGATTTGTTAAGATTCATAGAGGCAGTGCATAATCTAATCTCTAAAGTTCTATTTCATACTAGTTTACAGTTAGGTTATAACATATTGTATGTAAAGTTGAGTAGATTAAAAACCCAGTGTTTGCTGTTAGTCTGAATTTCAGTTGCCTGGTTTGAGAGGTTTTAAGATAGGAAATTCAGTATATGACTAAATGTGTGTGTTTGTTTTTGTTTTCCACAGTAAAAATGAAATATGCAGAAAACGTTCCCCATAACATGACAGAAAAGGAATTCTGGACACGTTTTTTCCAGTCCCATTATTTTCACAGGGACCGGCTGAATACGGGGTCAAAGGATCTCTTTGCAGAATGTGCCAAAATAGATGAAAAAGGTAATTCTTTGTCCCTGACACTCTCTTGCTGTGTTCTGTAGTCACTGGAGCTGCTAATGATTTTTTTTCCCCCTGAGTAAGATAAGACTTAGATCAACTTTTTATTTCGTTGATTTTCTAGGATTAAAAACAATGGTTTCATTAGGAGTGAAAAACCCACTACTAGATTTGACAGCTTTGGAAGATAAACCATTAGATGAGGTAAGAAGCAGTGAAAGGATTTATCAGAGAAAACAGTCCTTTTCTAGTCTTCATAAGTTTTATAGCTTTAAAATTGACTTAAATGTAAATGTTACAGTTGTGAGAATGCAAAACAAGCAGAATACTGTTATTTCAGGTGCTTTATCTGAAGTGCTTTTCATAGCACCATTTCTATTAAAATTGCCTTCAAGAACTAAAATGCCTGTATTAGTTGCTAAAGCTTTTTTTTTAAAGAATTTCCTACCTCCCCCATCAGCATTTCTCTAGCGAATAATGAAAATAACCTGTTGATGCGTCCAACTTGATGCTCTAGCTAACATTTAATCTAATGAAAGGTAGATAAATATTAAAAAACAAGGAAAACAAACATTTGTTGATTTTGTGCTGTTTGCCAGCCTTGGGCACTCTTGTGACCCTTACCCACACTAAACCCAGTATGTTTCAGCAGGTAGAGCATCAAGTATGAGCTATCTCAGCAACATGACTTCTGACCTACAAATGTGTCTAATAGCAGAGAAAGGAAATTCCTTCTGATCAAAGCTCTGTCTCCTAGCCCTGGGACCTGCCATCCTCAGTTACTCCCTTCACTCTCATATTTTCATTGTCTTACCCTTTTGGCTTCTTCCCTGCTGGCTGTATAAACATGCTTATATCATCCTTTTTTTTAAAAAAAATCCCCCTTATTTTAATATATGTTGTCATCAACTGAGAAAACCAGTATTAACATTTTGTGCTACAATCTAGTTATAAATTAACAGAATAATCCTTGGTGTTCAGATGAGTCATTTCCTTGATGAATTTTAGTCATATCCATGGTGAACCTCAATATATTAAAAACATGCCTTCCTAATCATCCTAAGAAAATGAAGCTTGGTGAAGCTTAGTGCAATGGAAATCTTTTTTCAGTGCATTTGTTTGTTTAAAAATAGAAATGATAGCATTTTGTACATGTACTCTTTTAACTTTCTTTTTCACTTTTACTTATTGTCGATATCAGTCCAAGCTAAATATACCACAGTCGTTAAGCACATAGACTTTAAAATTAAATTGTCTGGCTTAGACTCTGCCATTTTTTAATCTCTTTAAGCCAGTTTTTTTTATAAAATGGGGGCTATCTGTAACTGTTGGCCTCATGGGATAGATACAAGAGTTAAAAGAGCCTGATATATAGTAAATGCTCAATCACTAAAGCCTGTTATTCTTAATTATCTACATGTTTAAATATCTGCATGGTATTTCGTTATATGAGTATACTAACATTTACTTAAACTGTTCCTTATTTGAAGTGTTGGTTGATTGTATTTTCCCTTGGTGCCCTTTCAAACTCTAAACATTATAGTTGTCTCAGAGTATGGCCGTGGGCCCCCTTCTGAATCCATTCTCTCCATTCCATTACTTTAAATATTATATAACAATGAATCCCAAATAACTCTGGTCTGTCTTAACCCTTAAAGAGCTCTAGTGACATAGTGCTTAAGTCATTTAGCTGCCAACCAGAGGTTGGCAGTTCAAACCCACCAGCCACTCTCTGGAAGAAAGACTGGGCAATCTACTTCGGTAAAGCTTTACCACCTCAGAAACCCAAAGTGAGTTGTTATGGGTTAGAATCGACTTGATGGCAGTGAGTTTGGTTTTGGTTTATCTTAACCCTTGGAAGAGCCTTCGTGGTACAGTGGTCAAGCACTTGGCTGCTAACAGAAAGGTCTTTAGTTCAAACCCACCAGCCATTCTGCAGGAGAAAGATGAGACAATCTGTTTTTGTAAAGATTTACAGACTTAAAAACCTTCTGGGGCAGTTCTACTCTGTCCTGTGGGATCACCATGAATCAGAATCATCTTGACTACAACAGGGTTGTGGGTTTTTGTTTTTTGTTTTTAAATCTTAACCCCAGAGCTCCAAAATCCTATATCCAGCTGTCTGCTTGATAATTTCCACATAAATGTTTCTCAGACATCTATTTTAGCATGTTCATAGTGAAACCTATGATACCCATTCTCATAAACCTCTTTCTCCCTAGGTCTCTGCTGATTCAGTTGTTCAAGCCAGAAAACCTAGGAGTTTTCATGATTCTTCCCCTTCTTTTACCTCCAATATCCAGTTCATCTACAAGTCTCTGCAGTACATCTCTGATCTGTCTGCATCTCCCCAGTTTTACAGACACACCCTTTCACTTTTAAATTACCACCATCTTTGACTTGATTGCTTGCATTAGCCTCCTAAATGATCTTCCTGCTTTGACATATTCTCCCCTAGCACTGAGTTATAATGTAGATCAGATCATAGTACTCTTCTGTATGAAACTCTTAAGTGGCTTCTCAATGAACTTAGAATACAGCCCTAAAAAGCTCTGCATGATTGGCCCCTGCCTAATGCTACTTCAAGTTGGGCCACTTTCACTCACTCATACTTGAGAGACCACAGTGACCTTTCGGTGCCATGCCAAGCTTTTTCTACATCAAGACCCTTGCACATACTATTCTTTCTACCTGCTCTTTCCCCTAACTAGCTACTACCCATCTTTTGGACATCTACTCTAATGTTTCTTCAGAGAGACCTTCCCTGAACATACTAAAGTACCTCCCCTCCAGTCTAGTCACCCTAATATGTCACCCTCTTTATATTCTTCATAACATTTGCCTCTTTCAGTAAAGATCTTTTTTGAAATTGTTGATCAAAGTCAGTCAGTAGCCCTTCAGTACAGTGTAAGCTCTATGAGGTAAACTTTATTCTTGCTTATTGGTATTTCTCTAGTGCATGCCATATATTAGGCTTTTGATAATTATCTGATAAATGAATGAATGCTGTGAGTCTTTTTATGATCTTTCTTTTACCTCTTCTGTCTTACTAATCCCTGACCCACCTTTCATTCTAGCTGTACTGAAATATGTACTGACCTGTGGCACAATACACGCTACCTTGCTTCCATACCTTTGCTTAAACAGTTTCCATTTCTTCTCCCTGAAGTATTGTGTCCCCCCTGTCTGCCTGGCAAGCACCATCTTAATGGTACTCCATGAAAGTTTTCCTAACTCACCTCCTCTCTTCAGGTACAATCAGCCACTAACTATCTTGGAGAACCTATGACACATAGCTACAACTACTGGTTGACAGTCCAGCTTCTCATTAACTAGTATTTAAGCTCCTATGGGTAGGATATTATCAACTTTGTATGGATAGGGCCTAACATATAACATGCATTCAATACTTGTTGGAAAAATGCCTCATTTAATTCTTCAGTATCCCATTTTACAGAACTTGGGCAAGTTGATTAACTTGTGTAGACTTATGCAAGTTACGGATATTATGGTTCCTAGCTGGCACAGTTTTCACTCAATTCCTAACCTAAAAGTTGACAGTTCATTCCCAGTGGTACTGCAGAAGATACACCTGCAACCAAAAGTACCCTATGGAGCAGTTCTTCTCTGTATCACATGAGGTCCCCATGAGTTGGAACTAACAACAAGCTTATATTAGAAAAAATGATAAGGCCAGAATTTGAATCCCTATCTTTCTCACTCCAGAATCCATGGTTTTTTTGTTTTATTTTATTTTGATTGGTGTAATAGATAAGGTATTTGTTAAGCCAGAGGTCAGTGGTTTGAACCCACCACCCATTCTGTGGCAGAAAGATGAGGCAGTATGGTTTCTATAAAGATTTACAGCCTTGGAAACGCTCTGGAGCGGTTTTCCTCTGCCCTACAGGGTCACTAAGAGTCAGAATTCACTGGATGGTGGGGATTTTAGTCATTTATTTTTATTCCTTCATTTAATGGGTTATTAACTAGATCAACAATTACTCTTAAGGGGAAAAAATATAAAGAGTTTAAGATCTTTTTGTTTAATGCTAAAAAGAATAAGTGATATTTCCTAATTTTTGATGTGTAGAATGTCATGTATTTTTAAATGTCTGCCTATAAGTATTTAGTAAAGCTTATGAGAATTATTAAAGTCCTTTCAGTCAGCAGATCTTTTCAACTAAGCATGTTTATTATAATAGACAAGAAAATCAGAACCTTACTTTGATTTTTAATCTACTAAATTGTTTCTCATAGGGCTATGGCATTTCTTCTGTGCCATCTACATCCACTTCTTCTAAATTCATAAAGGAGAATAGTAATGCTGCCATCATCAAGAGATTTAATCATCACAGTGCCATGGTCCTGGCAGCAGGTCTCAGGAAACAGTTAAGTATTCATACAGAGGCACAATGGCTGGGCTTTTCAAGATGTCCAGATAGAAGAGTGGTGTTCAGCTTGTGGTATTTTAACATTGATTTTCTTTTTCCCCTTTGTTTTAAGAGAAGCACAAAATGAACAAAACGGTGAGCTCAGCAGCATGGATGGGAATGCAAGAGATGCAGACTGCTTTCAGCCAGCAGTCAAAAGGGTATGGGCAAAACATCTGGACCATTTAGGACTCAGGTTTCTCCAGATACCTTGTATCACTGCCATTACTTTATGTGAACTCTCAATTATTGATGTGCCTCAGTTCTTCTAATCAAGATATATTAAGTGTTTAGATTAAAGGGGAGATTTTAAGGAGTTCTGTGTCAGCTTTGGCTTGCCATCTAGCTTTCCGTGGATTCAGTCTGTTAACCACTTTGACTGTTTTTTGCCTTCACATATACAAATACACACAAATTGACACATAGTTTTGTTGTCTGGTAAAGATTGTTTAACAATGGCAGTATGCCAGAAAGAAAAGCTTCAGGTGTATGATTTAAAGAAAGTGATTTGGCCCTCATGTTAAACCTGTCATTTCAGGGCCGGAAATACGTCGTACTCATTAATATTGAAGAAATCATTTGGAATGGGGGAGTATGGGCATATTTTTTATTTCCTTACAACTTTGCCAGGCTGTTCTACCCCTTTATGTGTGTATGTGTGTATTTTTGTATGTGTGTTTCTTACTTTTCTCCCATAAAAAAGTAAATTAGGATAAAATCTTTTTAGAGGGCAGTTTGGCAGTATGTGTTTTTAAAAGGCCTTTAAAAGAATATACTAAATGGTTGTATTTTAGTAAAGGGATTATGCATGAGTCGTGTATATATATACTTTGTATTTCATATATTTCAGTATTTTAATAAAGCATGTATTTAAAATGAACAAAACCAGTAAGATAAAGTTTTGAACCAAAAAGAGTAAAACTAAAATGCAAGTTATAGAGAGGTGCTGGTCAAGTCAGTAGTTGACTGCTTTGTGTTCTACAAGAGATTTTATAGAAGTAGGTTCAGAAGTCATAATTTTAGGGTCCCTGCATTTATGGAGCTTTCAGTTAAGTATGCAAGTTGGGTAACCTAACAAGGTCTTGGCAGAAGTTTAGAGTTCGGATTATTACAGGAGCTTGAATGAAGACACAGCTTAGGTAAGGCAACAACAGAATAGAAGTGAGAGTGACATATGGGAAAGGCAGTGAAGACATCAGAATGCTTTGAAGTTGAGTGAAATGTAGAGAGTTGAGAGGAAATATATATAAGGCTGAGTGTAGGTAAAGTAGGACTGATTGATGTGTTACTTTTGAATATCATGCTGAGAAAGTTAGATTTGTTTCTATACGATAAAGGACCATCCAGACTCTTAAAACAGGTGTAATTTAAAATACTGAGTTTCCAAATTGATGTTTTTTGAGATATATTTAGTAATGTTTTGATCTTAGTTAGCTTTGATAGCTACCAATGAAAATTAACCAGGTGAATTTCATGGTCATGTAGAGAGGATGAGATATTATAGAATTTCTTTTTACAGATATGTATATAGATTATCTTATGTGTCTTTTTTAATTACTGGGTTTTTATTATAAAGCTACATAAATTTTAAGTAGTTTGTTACTAGCACAGGAGAAAACAAATTATTAAAATCAGAATAAAGAGTCCAGAAGTAAACCAAAACACATAAAATAATTAAATGTTGATAAACAGGGGATTTCAAAATCAGTAGGAAAAGACATATTATTCCACAAATGCTATTAGAATGACTAGTTGATCATTTAATTTAAAAGAAACTCAGATTCTTTAACTTATTCCTTATTCAAAAATAATTTCATGCAGATGAAAAATTTAAACAAAAAGTGAAGCCACAGAAAATAAGAGCAAAAAAGGACAGGGTGAATTTTTTTATAACCAAACTTTTTTAAACAATCCGGAAGAAAAAGTATTTGTAACACATGCAATAAATTATTAAATTCCTTAATATTTAAAGAATGCCTAGAACCCACCCACCACCCTCAAAAAAAGGTACACTCAGTAGAAAAATAGCAAAAAGCATGACTAGATTAGATAGTAGTTCATTGGGGAAAAAAAAATAGTAAGATACAAATTTAAACCTACCAACTTGACAGTAATTAAAAGTTCAGTAATATGTAGTGTGGTAGGTGTGTTAGAAGACAAGTACTTTTTATAAGTGGTGGACGAGAGTATTATGTTGTTTTGATTATATGTAGGGCTGTCATGCTGTCATCTCTAGGAAGAGTTAGGCTCATGTGGGAAGACTTTATACCTTTCTATACAGTTTTTTGGGTTTTTCTTTTTTTCCAGTAATGTGTATTGTAAAAGGGACAGTTAACTGACAAAAAAAAGTATTGTGTTAATAATTATAGGCAAAGTTACAAGAGTCCATTGAATATGAAGACTTGGGAAAAAATAATTCCATAAAAACGATCGCACTAAACCTCAAGAAGTCAGATAGGTAAGTTTGGTTTAACTTGAGGCAGAATATGTAACAGTTCAGTGCAGAATATATTCTGCAATTATAGTGTTCGTAATTCGTTTGTTGCCTTGAGATTATATTTTGTCTTAAAAATTTGCTTTGTGCAGCTCAGGCAAGAACTGTAAATGACCAAAGCCAAGAAGATAAAATGTGGATCTTTGTTCTATTACCTTTTCTTTAGAGAATTAAATTATTTTATCGAAATCTTTTGAACTATCGTATTATTTTTGGCTTTGGGGGAATACTGTATTGACCACTGAAACGTTTGCAAGGCGAATGTTGCGCACCTTTACTCTGTGTGATGAGTCATTTCTTTTTCTGTGCTGACCCTCAGGTATTATCATGGTCCAACTCCAATCCAGTCATTACAGTATGCAACAAGTCAGGACATTATTAATTCTTTTCAAATTATTAGACAAGAAATGGAAGCTTATACACCCAAATTAACTCAGGTAGGTGACATGTACTGTTTGAAGACCAGAGTTTCCTTATTTCCTTCTTTAGTTTATGAGTATAACCAGATGGAACTATACAACTAATATTTTAATTAGGTTAAAATACATATTTCTGCTTACTTATGCTCAATTTTAAAAACATAAACGAGATACAGAGAAAAGGTGTTTGAGCATATCTAAGAAGTATCTGAAGATGACAATAAAAAGTAAGGAGTTTTATGGTTGTTAATTTTTCCTTCCATATACAGTTTTATTGGAAAAATCTCCCATATTTCTGTGTTCCTTTTGGACATCATTGTCTGGAAGTTCTGTGTGACTACAAACTCAGAATACATAAAACAGAATTCATTTTGCTTCCTTTATTTTTCCATAACCTTATTCATATTTTAGTTGATCAGCAAGCTCTGTCAGTTCTTTCTTCAGTTATTTTTTTATTCCATCACTTAGGTTTAGGCAAACTGGATCCATTTTCCACACTGCCACAGCAAGCTAGTTTTGAAAAACATTTGACTGCTAAGCAGAAGGCTGGCAGTTCAAGCCCACCAGCCACTCCTCGGAAGGTTGGGCAATCTACTTACGTAGTAATACTGCCTTGGAAGCCAAAGGAGGGGTCGCTATGAGTCAGGTCTGACGCAACAGCACATAACAACAATCACTCTACAGCTTAAAAATCTTCACTGCATCCCTTCATTGCTATAGGTAATAGTCTAGACAACCTTAGTCCAGTACGTCAGACCATTTGTAATCTGACCCTAATACACTTACCCAGTATTAACTGTAGCCACAGTCCCTACATCTCCCAACTTCTCCTTTCCACACATACCCAACACTCCTATACTCTAGCCTAACACATTAACAACACAGATTTTTTTAATCACATTCTCTCTTTCATGCATACTATGGTTTTGCTCATGCTTCCTCTTTGCTAGAATGCCCTTAGCTCTGTTCTTGCTTCTGGGGATCTTACTATAATTGCAAAACTAAAAACCAAACCCACTGCCATCAAGTCGATTCCGACTCATAGCGACCCCCATTGGGTTTCCAAGGCAGGATGTCTGTATGGAAGTAGATTGCCCGATCAGCCTTCTGGTTAGCAGTCAGATGCCTTGGGCACTGTGGCACACAGAGCTCCTTAATTATTATTAATTACTCAGCTCAAATTTAACGGCTCTGTTTGGCAATCCCCAACATGCCCAGGGAGGAATGAGTTTCTCCCTTTCTCTCATAGCACTGAGGCACTGAGTGCATTTAAATTTGTTTTGAAATCTTCGATTTACAAAAATAATGTTTTCTGAGCCATTGTGAAAGTAGGTTATAGCCATAATATCCCTTATTTCTAAATATTTCAAATGTCAAGATACTTTTATGAAAGTACAGTCAGTAAATTTGCGTTGATAAGGTATTATTACCTGGCCTACAGGTCTGACCCAAATTTCATCTTTATAGAAAAAGAAAGCTTTTTTCTTGTCCGGCAGCCAAGCCAGAATCACCAAGTTGCATTTAGTTGCCTTATCTCTTTAATCTCCTTCAAAATGGCAGCTTTTCACTTAGTTGGTCTTTCATAGCCTTGACATTTGCAAGAAGAGTATAGGGTAGTTTTTTATAAAATACCCTCAATTTTTTTTTCCTAATGTTTCCTTATTATTAGGTTCAAGTTAGACAAGTTTTGGCAAGAAATACTACAGAAGTCCTATGTCCTCCTCAGTGCATTGTATAAGGGGCATATCATATCTTTTTCTCCTGTTGTAATATTAACTTGGATCATTTGGTTAAAGGGATATCTGCCTGATTTCACCACTGAAAAGTTCTTCTTTTTCCCTTTGTAATTTGTATTTTGTGAATAGATGCTTTGAGATTATATAAATTCCCTACTCCTCATCAAGGTTTCACCTATTGATTTTTTAGAATCCAATGACAATTCTTGCCTGAAACAGTTATCATTGTGGTGGCATTAAATGGTGATTTTCTATCATCTCTTCCACATTTATTAATTGATAATGTACTGAAAGGCAGGACTTTCCCTTCTCTAATTTTTTATTTCATTTATTTCTATCAGTATAGATTCATGAATTCTTACATGATTCTATGGATTATAAATTGTTACTAGGTTTTTCTTTAAATTAATGTTTAATTTATGTGCAGTGAAGTTTACCCTTTCCAGTTTACAAGCTTTGATAACTGCATACAGTTGTATAACCTTTGACACAAGAGAGAAAAGTTTCATCATCCCAAGAAAACTAATAATCATGTCCCTTTATATAAAAATCATGTTGCCCAGCACCTGGCAACCATGGATCTGTGTGGTGTTTTTATCGTTACTTGTTATAATGCTCTTACTGTTCAGAGCCCCTTCACACTGGCTCCTGTGTCTTTTTTGGCATGTCCTTGTCACCCTTTGAGCACTTCTAAGTTTCTGGCACAGTAAGCTATTCCAAGCTTATCTTACACTTTTCCTTCTTCACTCACAGAATCAGCCATTTTTCCAGGGGGCACTGGTTTCTTTTAGTGGTGAGTGGATTTAGAAACCAAGATCTGGGCACTAGGTATACTTATGCTATTCATTGTTCCCTTAGCAGACCAAAAACCCATTGCTGTTGACTTAGAACTCATAGCAACCCTGTAGAAGAGAGTAGAACTGCCTCATAGGGTTTCCAAGGCTGTAAATCTTTAGGGAAGTAATCTACCACAACTTTCTCCTGCAGAGTGGCTGATGGGTTCGGACTCCTTACCTTTCAGTTAGCAGCCAAGCATTTTAACCTTGTGCTACCAGAGCTCCTTCCTTAGCAGATAGTATTTCTCCTTTATACAGCTAAGAAATGTATGTGTGTACATTTATGCACACATAACAAATTTGGGATTATTTGATGACTGCTCTCCTTCTAAACTGTCATTGGCCCTTGAGCCCAAGTAGACCTGCCTAACTTTTTAAATTGTGGTCAATCTTAAATATTTATCCTCCTTGCCTCCCCCAAAAAGTAACCTGATAATCTGGAACACATGAACTGGGTCAGGATGACACAATAGGTTATCTGTCCTCATTGTGTATACCTGACGGCAGCCAGATGGTCTGTCAATAAGTTCAGCAATCACTGAATCGTTGAAAGGGAAGTAAGAATAATGGGAGCTTCCATGTGCTCTTGTCTCATGGTTCTTGCATGCTATATTCTTACACCAAATTAGATTCTTTTTTAAATCCAGCCCCACAGACACGTGGATTTCTGCCTATAAAAACCCCATTGGAAAATCTTAAGACATGCTAGCCCTGTACTTGACCTGTTCTACAAATGATTTCCTCTTCCTTACAGCCACAGTCCCTGGCCCTTAATAGATACTCACTAAATAGGTAGGTGGGAGCTCTGGTGGCGTAGTGCCTAAGGCATTTGACTGCTAACCAGAAGGCTGGCGGTTCAAACCCACCAGCCACTCCTTGGAAGGAAGATGGGGCAATCTACTTCCGTAGTGATACTGCCTCGGAAACCCAAGGAGGGGTCCCTATGAGTCGAGTCCGACTCAGCGGCACATAACAACAACAAATAGGTAGGTGAGTTATGTTCCTAAATAATTGATACTCAAGTAGTGGGAAATGTATTTTCAATACTACTTCCTCTTCTGGCCAATTATATTCACTTTCCCAACTTGAAAAATAATATATTTGTGGTATTTTTTTTTCCCCCTCAACTCTCATTACGGGTACATGTTAAAATATATTGTAAGTCAATTTCACCTTCAGTGGTAAGCGTTGCCAAGTAAATTGAGTTGGTGCTTACAAAAGGGCTTAGTAGGCAAAAGACTGCCAATTTTTAGGTATTTATGGATTTACCAAGGAGCCCTGGTGGTTCAGTGATTAAGCACTTAGCAGCTAACTGAAAGATCAGTAATTCAAACCCACTGGATGCTCCACAGGAAAAAGATGTGGCACTATGCTTCTGTGAGGATTATAGCTTTGGGGTCAGTTCTACTTTGTCTTATAGAATTGCTGTAAGTTAGAATCAACTCAGTGGCAATGGGTATGGATTTGCCTGATATTGGAAGATTTGTAAGTATTTTATTCCTACATAGATTTCGTGTTTCTGGCCTCATGAAAAATAGTTCACTCTGGTTGCTACAAATGATGCGTTTATACTGGAGTAAACATTTACTTGATATTTTGCTATAAAACGGAATTGTTAAATAAGATGCTGGGAAAGAAAGGGGGAAAAATAGCCAGTTTCTGTCTTAATTTCTTATAGGTTCTCTCAAGTAGTGCTGCTAGTAGTACCATCACAGCCCTGTCACCTGGAGGAGCACTTATGCAGGGAGGGACACAGCAAGCCATAAACCGTACGTGCTGGGTCACTTCTGCTGTCAAAGCTCTAAAGAGCAAGTTGGAAGGGGTGCTGGACATTTTTTTTTTGGTGTTTTTTGGAATATTTCTGGGATTTTTTGTTTGATAGAGTTGTTTCTGTACGTATAGATAGTGAAATACATCTGTATAAGCACGCAGGTTTCAGGATTGTTTTAATGGTATAAACAGTGGTACATTGCTACTCTAGTATATCATAATAATACAGTAATAGCTTTCTTTTTTCCTCCCTTAGCTTTTATGATAAAGATAAAGGAACCCAAAAGTTCCTCAAAAATCACAAGGGATTTCAAATTCTGTGATTTCTTAGCCACAGAATCAGTAACTTATCTCAGAATTGGTTGGCATTGGCAAAGGGTGCATGTTTAGTCTCTGGTCATTTTTTCAGAAACCTTGCATGTATGAAGCTAGCTTTTATCCTGTTTACCCCTTGCTTTGCAGAGATGGTGCCAAATGATATTCAGTCTGAATTGAAACATCTGTATGTGGCTGTTGGAGAACTTCTACGGCACTTCTGGTCCTGCTTTCCTGTTAATACACCATTCCTAGAAGAAAAGGTCAGAACCAGTTCCAAACAGCTACCTGTTGCGGTAGTATAAATTGTTGATGTGTACTGTCAAGCCAGTTTCAACTCACAGTGACTCTATATGACAGAGTAGAATTCCCTCACAGGGTATCCTATGCTGCATTGTCTATAAGAGTTAGTCACCAAGTCTTTCTTCTGCAGAGCCCCTTGTGGGCTGTGTAACAATGTTTTTGTGTGGTATGTTATGCCAGTTGAGCTTGATGTTTCCTGCGACCATGCTCCCGAGCCCACAGGTCCAACTACTCACTCCATCACTTCCCTGTGGCCAGTAAGCCACCACAGCCTTGTCCCTTGTCAGCTCTACTGTACATCTGGACATTCTTACAGCACATAGAGATAGGCATGTAGAAGTATCATCTGCCAACCCTGTACATGGTCATGAGCACTCTGCCTATTTCCTTCTTTTTATATTTTTTAAATTTTTTCTACAGCAACCATGTATTGGTTTGTGATACTTTCTATGATTGCTTTTTTTAATTAATAAAAAACTTTAAATATACTAGGTATTTGTTTCTCTGCCCTGGTAAAGCTAAGTAATGTTCTTTTTCTTTTTCTTTTTTAAAAAGTGACATTCCTATGTAGAGGTAGTGCTTTTGTCTTGGTCTCTATAAGTTCTTTGAGATTTCTCTCTAATCCTTATTTCTCTCTTCTTTTTGCAGGTAGTGAAGATGAAAAGTAATTTGGAACGATTTCAAGTTACAAAGCTCTGCCCATTCCAAGAAAAAATTCGGAGACAGTATTTAAGCACAAATGTAAGGCACAATCTGATTTTGGCCTCATTTTCTTTCTCTGGGTGGTAAACTGTTGAAAAATAACTTTCCTTTTGTGTAAATGAGTAGATCATCTGTTATTTTCTGTTGTTCAGGATACTGTTTTTTAATACATTATTCATTCAAAAGAATGTATAAAATAGGTATATATTTTATTTATATATATATATATATGTATGTATAAATGGTGTATGTGTACCCATCAATCAGGGTAAGAAATACAGTTGTACCAATACCCTTATATAGTCCTTGAATGCCTGTGTCCAATTGCATACCCCTACCTCTCATCTTCCATAGGTAATTAACTAACCAGACATTTGTGATAATCACCTCCATGCTTTTCTTTATAGATTTGCAACCTATTTATATGTGCTTAACAATATATTACTTATTTTGAAAACCTAAGTAGCAAGCACAAGCCTTGCAGCATAAGGAAAGGGCAGTATTGCCACTCTGGGTTATAATCTGGCTTCACCTTCTCTGATTGATTACAGCAGGGAAAGTCATAGTAAGCTAAGGAATGCCAGGTATTAATATGTGCCTGGAATTTTAGGCATGATAAGTATTTATTTCTAAAAGTCCTAAGTGGGTTTTCTCAAAATAGAAAATAGTATTACTTTAATCAAAAAAGAAGCTTGTAGTGTCTTCCCACAGCAAGACAGGGATTCAAATAAGTTTCATTTGTGTGACCTCTCAGTTTGTTACAGTTGCCTGGAGCACTATGTTGGAAGGGTTCTTAGGCCATGGATAGCCTCATAGGAGGATATGGGGTCTCTTTCTCCTAAGTAATATCACAGAGCTCTGCTGATCCAGCAAAACAAATCTGATTCTTTCTAGACAGAGCTAAATTTCACATAACCTCAAGAAAATGCAAAAGGTTAATGGTAAATTGGGAATTTTTTTTTTTAATTTCTGTACCTCAATTAGACCTGAGTATTGACATCCTAAAAGGCTTTAGGACTTTTCCTGAGCTCCTTTTCTATCCTCTGAGAATTGACTTGTAGGCTTTACCTCTTTCCTCACCATATAAAAACACTGTCTACCACCAAGGAAACAAAGATACTCATACATTTCTATCTCAAGAGTCTTTATCAGCTCAGATCAAGTGTAGTCTTGTTGACTTCCCATGATGAAGACAAAATTCTTCTCCATTCACAATTTATAGCTCTGCCCTTTGATGTGACAGAGTATTTATGTGAAGCATTGGAACACTTAAGATACTCTACTGAGTTAGGTTGAAATCCTGAAATATTGGAGCTGGAAAAGGTCCTAGAGAGTATAGAAAAGTGCTTCACAAAATTGGCTGTGCATTAGAATTAACTGCTGGAGTTTCTGAAAATTGAAAATATTCATCCCAGACCTGGTGCATCAGAATCCTCAGAGGAGTGAGGCAGTTTTCAGATGTTCTGTAAGATAATGTTGATGCCACCATCCTGGCCTTAGTCGGTAGACTGGTGTTCGAATCCAGAAATCACCACTGTAGTTCAGTCCCGCATTTGATGGCAGATTCGGCTGGCCTGGAGCACAGTTAGGACTTTCATTCTGTCCTAATAGCTGGTTTTAGTGATAGAGTAGGCAGACATTACAACCCAGAAAGAATGGGTGAATTTTCAGCTTCTTTAAGACACCCCCACCACCTTTTACTTTCTGCACAGCACGTGTCTGATGGTGCCTTATACATTGCCTCCTCAATTAAAGAAAAGCAAATGAGTTTGGAAAGCTCTGAAATCTGTGCCAGATTTGGGTCAGGAGCATTAACTTCCCCAGCCTTCACCCACTTGTTGCTTACGTGTCTTGCTGTGTTTTTCAGTTGGTAAGTCACATAGAAGAAATGCTCCAGACAGCCTACAACAAGCTTCACACGTGGCAGTCACGACGCATGATGAAGAAAACGTGAAGTGCCTGTGGTTCTCACAGTTTGGGAGATTGGGAGAACTGTGATCTGTGATGACTCTGGAAACGTGACCTGACAGATGTGCAGATCATCACACAAGTTACAAGAAAGATCTGCATTGTGTGGACTTTGGGAGCTGATGCATATTGTACTTGCACATTGTGAAGGGAGAGGACGAAAGGGACTGTGATTAAAGTAAAAGCGGAGGAGGTAAATTAAGGCAGAACCAAAATGAGCTAAGTTGCAAATATATATAAATATATATATATATATTTAAAAAGACACTGTTTACTGCAGTTACTCAGGAACTGCTTTTGATTCACATTAAGCTGCTTTCAGAAATTTAAAACAAAACAAAATACACTTTTTTAAAGGGTGCATTGATAAAATCTGAAGTTTTTGTTTTTGGGGTTTTTTTTTTTTTTCCTTCTGTGTAAATGTTTTTCTTAAGTTTATGGCACAGGGTAGATATTAAGTATTTCTCCTCCATCCTCTATTGGATCCTCAAGTTTTACTGAATTCTAGTTGTACCTTACATCAGCAAGTTAAAGAGAATAAAGTAAAGCAGAGGGAGACTGTTGCTTAAACATCAGGAAACAGTTGTAGTCAGAAGACACCATTGGTCCTGTGTTTCCTACGGAAATAAGAAACAAATATTGCACTGAATGTTTGTGGTTTGGGGTCCCTATGTGATAAAGAGGGAACATATTTGCAGAAAGTTGCGTGGGGTTTTTTATGCAGAATTTTGTCAGAAGACAATGGCGCTGCATGCTTTTCTTTGAGTGCAAATGTACATTGCTAAGATTTTTTTTTTAAGATGGCATGTTTGAAAAGAGGAAAATGCATTTTTAAGAGTTTAAAAATCTTATAAGTGAGAAATAAAAGAAAGCTTACTTATTTTCACCTGTTTAGAAGAAATAAAAGATGTTTCTCATATCTCCTTTTCTCCAGTCTAACAGTTTTTGGCGAATCGATAATCAATGCATAGTGACTGAAAAGCCTAAATGCAAAACCAGAAGAGATGCTATATTTTCTGGATTCTGTGCCATATTTTGTTTCTAATAATACCAACTTAACTATTTTATCTAAGACTTTAGATGTACTGGAAACTACATGAAAAGTAAAACTTTTATAGATACTCTTTCTAACAGTAACACATCTTGTGTTTTCTCATTATTTTACTTGATATTTACTTGGGTGGGCTTCTTGTTCTTTTTTAAAGGCACTATTGCAAGTTGGTTATCTTTCATATAATGACTACAATGACTCAAACCTGTTAGACTTTCAGCTAGTAAAAGAAAAGAGGCAACATCACTTTCTACCTGGATCTTCCCATTTCTCTTTCAGATCAGTATGTTGTTGTTGTTATGTGCTGTGGAGTCGGACCTGACTCATAGCAACCCCTCCTTGGGTTTCCGAGGCAGTATCACTATGGAAGTAGATTGCCTTAGGATCAATATAGTAATGGTGTAATCATTTACATTTACATATCACATGATAGTGTTACAAAGTGCTTTTCAAATGCATTATTTCATTACCACAACAATGATAGAGCAGAAATAGAAAAGTATAGTCAATTGGGAAAGACATTATAAACAAAATGCTCTGTTCAGTGGTGTGTTGAAGAGATAAATATAATGGAGCCCAAAGGAAGAAAGACAGTTTTCAGGAATTTGAGCAGTCTCCACTGAAGGCTGAATAGGAGTTTGCTGAATAGAGAAGAAACAGTCATTTGATTTAGATGGAAGGAACAGCATGGTAAAGGTGTAAGGGTTTGAAAGACACTAGTATTTTAGGGGAACAAGAAGAATTTGTTAGACTGGAGGGTTGAAAGTGAAAATTGAAGTAACTAGGAAAATCAGTTTATTATGAATGGCCTTGATGCCAAAATGTGAGAAATTCAGACCTTACCCATTAGGCATGTGAGATCCAGGAGAAATTTTTGAGTGAGTAGGTGGTTTTTGTGGCTTAACTTGGCTTTTTAAAATTAACAGCTAGGAAAACCAGAAACTAGATGACTTTCGGAGTAATCCAGACTGGAATCTAAATCCAAATTAAAATAGGATCCTGGTGAATAGGAAGGTGATGAGTGAGCAAAGATATTCCTGTGCTAAGAGACTTGAATGTGAACAAGTCTCAGGAATTGAAAGGATCAAGGGTCATCTCACCAGATATGGCTCTCAATTTTGTCTAGCTTGCATTTGAAATAGTTGATCCTGGGAGTCTTAAAAATGACCTTTGGCCATATTCCCCTTGTGGAAAATGATAGCAGCTGGTGGTTGAGGACTGCTATAACCAGGCCTGTGCAAAGCACTTTTTCTATTAATCTCACATCTTTCTCATGACTACCAGTGAGGTAGGTATTATAGAATGACTTTGCAAATTGGAAATGAGTTTAGAAGTTAAATAACTTGGCCAAATTCACACAGCCAGAAAGGGGCAGAGCTAGGATTTTACTAAGTTGTGATATGGAAAGCTTTTATTTTCCAGCTAGTGGTAACATTGCGTGGATTTTTCTTCGACTGCCCTGTCAGTCTTGCCTCTGATTCTATTCTTTGCTTCATTTGTGGCAAATTAGGAAATTATTTTGCCTAGTGGGTTCCACTAACCCAGAAGCCTGCGAAATACTATAATAAAAGCATTTTCTACCCATGAACGAATGAGTTTCTTCTGAAAAGGAGCATAAAATTCGTAATGCTAGTATATGCTTTGGATTTAGGGATTGAATTGTGCCCCAAAAAATGTTATAAATCCTAACCCCTATATCTAGTTTGAGAAGCATTGGTGGTGTGATGGTTAAGTGCTCACCTGCAAATCAAAAGATTGGAAGTACCAACCCATCAGCTGCTCTGCAGGAGAAAAGATACAGTAGTTGGCTTCTATAGATTCACAGCCTTGGTAACCTTACTGGGCAGTTCTACTCTGAACTATAGGAGCTCTGGTAGCGTAGTGCCTAAGGCACTTGACTGCTAACCAGAAAGTTGGCGGTTGAAACCCACTAGCCATTCCTCGGAAGGAAGTTTGGGCAATCTACTTCCATAGTGATACCACCTCGGAAACCCAAGGAGGGGTCGCTATGAGTCAGTCCAACTCGATGGCACATAACAACTACAACACTCTGACCTATAGGGTTGCTATGAGGTGGAATCATTTAACCTTTAATATCTGTCGTTATAATCCAATTTGGGATTGGGTGTTCTTTGTTATGTTAATGAAGCAACAAATAGAAGTGGGGGAGGATAGATGGCACACCACAGGAATATCACCAGGGAACCAAGGAAAATGGATTTTCCTCCAGAGTTGGTTCCCTGAATTCAGACTTCTTGCCCCTCCTACACTGTGAGAAAGAAGTTTCTGTTAAAGCCACCCACTTCTATTTCTGTTATAGCAGCACTAGGTAGCTAAGACACTGCAAGATGAGAAAGTTATCTTGTGATAACCACTTCAGTCTGGAACACAAAAGAATGTTTTAACATTTGTACTTAGATAGGTAGCCCACTCACCCAAGCTAAGGGTCTAATCCAGAAAGTGATTTCCTATTGAAGACTATATCCTCTGTCTAGAACTGACAATGGCCCTGAGGTGGAAAACTGCCCATTTTAGACTTAGATTTGCTGTCTCCAGTGTAATACTTGTCCCAGAATCCTCAGTGCATTACCTCTGCCCTTTCCCAGTTTAGCTACTTCAAGACTCAGCTGTTCTCCCACTTCCTGAGGCCAGAGGAGTCTTGGTTATTTTCAGCTCATAAATTGTCCAAAACTGGAACATTGCCTGGAACCTGGTTCACAGATGATCGACCTTTGTAGCCCGTATCTTCACTTGGGTGTGTATTAAAGTTACAAAGCAGCTTTGGAAATCTTGTCTAACGGTTTTCAGATTGTGTAACTGCAGAACCGTTTTCATACAGTATCTCACAGAACCACTGATGTGTATGACAGAAGCAGAATTGTACCACTTAAGGTTAGGCCAGAGACCTAGCTCCTCCCACCTCCCAACAGAATAATACAGCATGAAAATCACCCCACCTCTGGCCACCAGACAGCCTGCCATTGGTTGGGAGTAAGCTGAAGTTGAAGTATAAGATACATTCTTAGGTAATACTTTTCTGTGGTCACAGAAATAAACATGAGTTGCTTCAAATCCAACTCTTTCAGTAACATGTAAACAGACAAAAGACAAAGATGTCAGATTGAATTAAAAAAGAAGAGTCAATTATATGCTACTTATAAAAATATCTACACTTTGCTTTACTTCCCTTATTGGGTTAACTACTGTGTGAAGAATCCAGTGCCCTTTATTACTCTAGCGTTGGTTTCTCTAGTTCGGATCTAGTAGCTAAGTGCCTGGCACATAGTAAGCATTCACTAAATGTTCTTCATAACATTTATTACTATTTATCAGGTTATGTGTCAACTTCTCTAGGCCATGATTCTCAGTGGTAGATATTATGTAATCATTCTCCATTTTGTGATCTGAAGTGAGCAGCAAATTAGTTGAAAGGGGAGTTTCCTTCAGGGTGTGCCCTGCATCCAATATATATATGGATTTTGTGGTAAAGCACACCCTGCTTCAGACTTGACATCCTCTGATCTTCAGTGCTTGGACATGAGCCAGCAGCCTGCCATCTGACCTGATGATTTTGAGTTTGCCAGCCCCTGCAACCACATGAGTCAGGAGAAGCCTCCAGCCTGAAGCCTGACTCATGGATTTCCTCTGGGTACCTGGCTGTGGGCCAAGAAGTGACTATAACCTTGTCCCTTGTCAGCTCTACTATATACCTGGGGATTCTTACAGAACATACAAATACACTTGTAGACTTATTATCTGCCAACCCTTTACATGGTCTTGGGCACACTCCCCCCTGCATAGACATACCTAATAGGTCAGCCTGTCCACCCATCTATCCACCTGTATATCAGTGTTTGCAAAAGCATCAATTCTTTGGTCTCCCTTACTCATTGTATCTCTTGCATGCATATGAAACAATTGAAAATACCATTGCT